TGATTTCACTTATACATATATCATTAATTAATTTATATAATGCACAATACTTTGAAATAGATTGCACAGAATAATTGGTATTCATCACTACATCATGCAGCTACTCTAATTATATATAGTAAAAATCTCAACGAGACAAAGGCCTGCTGATAAGCATGAGGCCAAACTTATTATAATTATTCATTGTATATTTATTATGATAAATAATGATTGTAGTAATAAATGTCATTCTAACTAAGCTATTAACTATCAATTTCTCTAACCTTTATGCTAATTCCAAACTTAACCTTATACTAACATACATTCAACATTCTTACACATAGCCTTTATTTCAATCTCCAACACATATCTACTAACCTTAATCTAAACTTATCAGTATTTGTTATAAGAATATGATAAAGAAATACTTCAAATAAGCCCACTTTTTAATCTAAAAAAAATCCATCCTACCTGTCAACCATCATTTAAAAGCCTAATAAAAAAAAGGAAGGCACCAAAAATGTAATGAAAATGATACCAAAAAGCTGGAGTAACACTATATAGAAAGAGAAAAAAAAACCTCAGATTAATAAAAAAAAAAAAATGCAAGCAGAAAAAAAGATGTAAACCAAGAAACTAAAAAAAAAAAAAAAATATTAAAAAAAAAAATCAAATTAGCTGATAAATAATATGACTGCAGCCAAAGGACACCAAGACACTAAGGAAATTCAACAAAAAAATTAAATTATCTAATAAATAACATGATAGCAGCAAAAGAATACCAGGATACCAACACCAACATATGACAGCAAAAGGATACCAAGATACCAACACCAATATATGACAGCAAAAGAATACCAAGATACCAACATACGACAGCAAAAGGATATCAAGATACCAATATACGACAGTAAAAGATATCAAGATACCAATATATAACAGCAAAAGGATATCAAGATACCAACATATAACAGCAAAAGGATACCAAGATACCAACACCAACATATCAACATTAACATACGACAGCAAAAGGATGCCAAAATACCAATACCAATATATGACAGTATAAAGATACCAAGATACCAACACCAATATATAACGATGTTAGAACAATACTAAAATACACAAAAAAAAGAAAAAAAATTAGTAAAATGATGTATTTATTAAAATTATTATATCTATTACATAAGCTTAAATTAAAATAATTATAATTACATTATTGCATATTAGCTTATTTATGTTAAATTT